GAATTAGTTGGTCCATATCATTTATTTACTACAGGTTTTGTAGTGTTGTATGACCAACCCCAGTGGGTTTAGCACTTGGTTATGATTATAATACTACTACAGGTTTGGAGAACATGTCACAAGCAAAACCACCTTGTAAATGTTTCAAATACAATTATAGTTCAGACATTTAAAAAAAAAAAATATTTGTTTCCCCACCTTTTAAAGTACAATCTACTACTGATTTCAGTCGTGAATAATTTTATATATTGTAAATGCATTGTAATGTTGATTTGAAAGCTTAATACATCTGGTTTTCTTTCATTTTTGCATTTTGTAGATGCAAAACACATATTTTGCCAGTAAAGGTTGCATCATTGGTAATGCTATAAGAAAAAATGTAATATTAAACAGTACAGTGTATTAATAATAATACAGATTTTTATGAAAATGGGGCACTTTTATATTCATTGTTTCAGTAAACTGTCACAGCTCCAGTTCTGTGTTCTTAATGTACTGAATGAATGAGGCACTGGTGAAAGTATGTGGTCATTCATGCTTCTGGTACTATCAGTACTCATTGGAAACTTGGTGAAAAGAATTGACTTTTGGGGATCATTGTTAAACTGTAGCACATAATTCATATAGCCACAGTGTATGTCTTTTTACCATGAGCCTGTTTCACAAAAAAGGAAACAAATACCTTTATTCATTCAATAGTTGTCATGCCAGAAGTGCATGAATGTGTCGGTAGTTGTCATGCCAGAAGTGCATGAATGTGTCAGTAGTTGTCATGCCAGAAGTGCATGAATGTCTCAATAGTTGTCATGCCAGAAGTGCATGAATGTCTCAATAGTTGTCATGCCAGAAGTGCATGAATGTCTCAATAGTTGTCATGCAGAAGTGCATGAATGTCTCAATAGTTGTATGCCAGAATGTGCATGAATGTCTCAATAGTTGGTCATGCCAGAAGTGCATGAATGTCTCAATAGTTGTCATGCCAGAAGTGCATGAATGTCTCAATAGTTGTCATGCCAGAAGTGCATGAATGTCTCAATAGTTGTCATGCCAGAAGTGCATGAATGTGTCGGTAGTTGTCATGCCAGAAGTGCATGGGTGTCTTAATTCAAATAACTCTGTGGACTGCAAAATACCTACTGTTTCTTCTGATACGGATTATTGTAGCCTATAATGTAAATTATACTTTTCAAACTATTAACAATTGATTGTTTTGTTTGTTGAATGCTGTATAGATAAACTTTTGTACAAGATATATGCAACATTTATAAGTGTATTCAGGAGAGGCTTATAAAAGTATTTTATGTTTATTTTGCTACTGTATATACAAAAAACCATATTTATTTTAAGTTTTTAAGTGCATAATTACTTTTCATCTGCAAGAGGTTTATTTGATAAATTATGTAAGTAAATGATACTTTTTATAGATTAACAGATAAATTAGGAGCCTGCAAATGAAGATATGGTAGCATAAATTGTTATACCCTATTTATGTTGCCCCTTCATTATCTATTACTATGATATGTAAAACAATTGATGCTCAGTTGTTATTCATAGGTATAGATTAGTAGGCTGGTTCTTGTATAAGTTGTCAAGATTTTAATAACCACGAACTGTGTCTGAGATATGAACAAGAATTGTTTCTTTAAGAATAAAATAATATTCTGTTGCAGAATTAATTTGCTACCACTCTTATGAACATCAGTTTTATTTTTACCGTAATGTTTTACTTTTTACTTTTAATTTTATACACGCACACTGCAGTAATTGCAAACGAGCAATAACACATACAGAACAACTACAGGGGGAAATCATATGACAGCTCTAGGCTTTTCATGTTGTAGCCAACACTTCTTCAAGCGTTGGCAATGGTGAAAACGAATGATCACCCCAGGAAGGTGTGTCTGGGGAGGAACCCTACAAGGGATGAGAAAACTGCTGGCTGGATTGTCCAATGCCTAACCATTCAGTGCCAGATACCTAAGGTTCAAGTAAATATTTTAAGAACCAGCAGGAATAGACAGCCCAGCCCATAAGCATTGAATGTGTGGTAACAAAGAGGAGATTATATATTGCTAATGACATGTCAAGAATCAAGAGTGAGCCAACAAAATTGTCTATACTTGTCATTATTACAAGCTCTTGAAAAAGTACTGGCTGCACCCCACCCCCCTACACACCCACACACATAAAAACCAAGTGTGCTAGGAAATGGAAGAAGTACAGAAGGCAAAGGACCCAGGAGAATAAGGAGAGGAGTCATAGAGCCAGAAATGAATATGCACAGGTAAGAAGGGAGGCCCAACGACAATATGAAAATGACATAGCAGCGAGAGTCAAATCTGACCCGAAGCTGTTATACAGCCACATCTGGAGGAAAACAACAGTCAAGGACCAGGTAATCAGGCTAAGGAAGGAAGGAGGAGAGACAACAAGAAATGGCCGCGAAGTATGTGAGGAACTCAACAGGAGATTTAAAGAAGTGTTCACAGAGGAGACAGAAGGGACTCCAGAAAGACGGAGAGGTGGGGTACACCACCAAGTGTTGGACACAATACACACAACTGAGGAAGAAGTGAAGAGGCTTCTGAGTGAACTAGATACCTCAGAGGCAATGGGGCCGGATAACATCTCTCCATGGGTCCTGAGAGAGGGAGCAGAGGAGCTACGTGTACCCCTAACAACAATATTCAACACATCTATCGAAACAGTAAAAGTAGGCCTTAGACAAGGATGTGTGATGTCACCGTGGTTGTTTAATATATTTATAGATGGGGTTGTAAGAGAAGTAAATGCGAGGGTCTTGGCAAGAGGCGTGGAGTTAAAAGATAAAGAATCACACACAAAGTGGGAGTTGTCACAGCTGCTCTTTGCTGATGACACTGTGCTCTTGGGAGATTCTGAAGAGAAGCTGCAGAGATTGGTGGATGAATTTGGTAGGGTGTGCAAAAGAAGAAAATTAAAGGTGAATACAGGAAAGAGTAAGGTTATGAGGATAACAAAAAGATTAGGTGATGAAAGATTGAATATCAGATTGGAGGGACAGAGTATGGAGGAGGTGAACGTATTCAGATATTTGGGAGTGGACGTGTCAGCGGATGGGTCTATGAAAGATGAGGTGAATCATAGAATTGATGAGGGAAAAAGAGTGAGTGGTGCACTTAGGAGTCTGTGGAGACAAAGAACTTTGTCCTTGGAGGCAAAGAGGGGAATGTATGAGAGTATAGTTTTACCAACGCTCTTATATGGGTGTGAAGTGTGAGTGATGAATGTTGCAGCGAGGAGAAGGCTGGAGGCAGTGGAGATGTCATGTCTGAGGGCAATGTGTGGTGTGAATATAATGCAGAGAATTTGTAGTTTGGAAGTTAGGAGGAGGTGCGGGATTACCAAAACTGTTGTCCAGAGGGCTGAGGAAGGGTTGTTGAGGTGGTTCGGACATGTAGAGAGAATGGAGCGAAACAGAATGACTTCAAGAGTGTATCAGTCTGTAGTGGAAGGAAGGCGGGGTAGGGGTCGGCCTAGGAAAGGTTGGAGGAGGGGGTAAGGAGGTTTTTGTGTGCGAGGGGCTTGGACTTCCAGCAGGCATGCGTGAGCGTGTTTGATAGGAGTGAATGGAGACAAATGGTTTTTAATACTTGACATGCAGTTGGAGTGTGAGCAAAGTAACATTTATGAAGGGATTCAGGGAAACCGGCAGGCCGGACTTGAGTCCTGGAGATGGGAAGTACAGTGCCTGCACTCTGAAGGAGGGGTGTTAATGTTGCAGTTTAAAAACTGTAGTGTAAAGCACCCTTCTGGCAAGACAGTGATGGAGTGAATGATGGTGAAAGTTTTTCTTTTTCGGGCCACCCTGCCTTGGTGGGAATCGGCCAGTGTGATGATAAAAAAATAAAAATAATGGAAGACAGCAAAGGTAGTCCCAATTTTTAAAAAGGGAGACAGACATGAAGCACGAAACTACAGACCAGTGTCACTGACATGTATAGTATGCAAAGTCATGGAGAAAATTATCAGGAGAAGAGTGGTGGAACACCTAGAAAGGAATGATCTCATCAACAGCAGCCAACGTGGCTTCAGGGACAGGAAATCCTGTGTCACAAACCTACTGGAGTTCTATGATAGGGTGACAGCACTAGGACAAGAGAGAGAGAGAGGGGTGGGTAGACTGCATTTTCTTGGACTGTAAGAAGGCATTTGACACAGTTCCACACAAGAGATTAGTGCAAAAACTGGAGGACCAAGCAAGGATAACAGGGAAGGCACTACAATGGATCAGGGAATACTTGTCAGGAAGACAGCAGCGAGTCATAGTGTGTGGCGAGGTGTCAGAGTGGGCACCTATGATGAGTGGGGTCCCACAGGGGTCAGTCCTAGGACCAGTGCTGTTTCTGGTATTTGTGAACGACATGACGGAAGGAATAGACTCCGAAGTGTCCCTGTTTGCAGATGATATGAAGTTGATGAGAAGAATTCATTCGGACGAAGACCAGGCAGAACTCCGAAGGGATCTGGACAGGCTGCACACCTGGTCCAGCAATTGGTTCCTGGAGTTTAACCCCACCAAGTGCAAAGTCATGAAGATTGGGGAAGGGCAAAGAAGACTGCAGACGAAATACAGTCTAGGGGGCCAGAGACTACAGACTTCACTCAAGGAAAAAGATCTTGGGGTGAGTATAACACCAGGCACATCTCCTGAAGCGCACATCAACCAAATAACTGCTGCAGCATATGGGCGCCTGGCAAACCTCAGAACAGCATTCCGACATCTTAATAAGGAATCGTTCAGGACCCTGTACACCGTGTACGTTAGGCCCATATTAGAGTATGCGGCACCAGTTTGGAACCCACACCTAGCCAAGCATGTAAAGAAACTAGAGAAAGTGCAAAGGTTTGCAACAAGACTAGTCCCAGAGTTAAGAGGTATATCCTATGAGGAGAGGTTAAGGGAAATCAACCTGACGACACTGGAGGACAGGAGAGATAGGGGGGACAGGGATAACGACTTACAAAAATACTAAGAGGAATTGACAAGGTGGACAAAGACAGGATGTTCCAGAGACTGGACACAGCAACACGGGGACACAGTTGGAAGCTGAAGACACAGATGAATCAAAGGGATGTTAGGAAGTATTTCTTCAGTCACAGAGTAGTCAGGAAGTGGAATAGTTTGGGAAGCGATGTAGTGGAGGCAGGATCCATACATAGCTTTAAGCAGAGGTACGATAAAGCTCATGGTTCAGGGAGAGTGACCTAGTAGCGACCAGTGAAGAGGCGGGGCCAGGAGCTTGGACTCGACCCCTGCAACCTCAACTAGGTGAGAACTAGGTGAGTACACAACCACACACATACAACCCCACACATACAACCACATACAACCCCACACACAAGGAGACAGAAATGAGGCACTAAACTATAGATCAGTGTCACTGAATTTTATGACAAGGTATCAAAAGTAAGACAGAGAGAGGGGTAGGTTGATTGCATTTTCCTGGATGGCAAGAAGGCCTTCAACACAGTTCCTCACAAGAGATTAGTGCAGAAGCTAGAGGATCAGGCACGTACAATGGGAAGGGCACTGCAATGGATCAGAGAATACCTGACAGGGAGACAACGAGTCATGGTACATTATGAGGTATCACAGTGGGCACCTGTGATGAGTGGGGTCCCACAGGGGTCAGTCCTAGTACAATTGCTATTTTTGGTATATGTGAATGACATGATGGAAGAGATAGACACAGAAGTGTTCATGTTTGCAGATGATATGAAGTTAATGAGGAGAATTAAATCAGATGAGGATCAGGCAGGACTACAGAGAGACCCGGACAGGCTGAACGCGTGGTCCAGCAGCTGGCTTCTTGAATTTAACCCTGCCAAATCCAAAGTCATGAAGATTGGGGAAGGGCAAAGAAGACCACAGACAGAGTATAGGCTAGGTGGACAAAGACTACAAACCTCGCTCAAGGAGAAAGATCTTGGAGTGAGTATAGCACTGAACATGTCTCTGGATGCACACATTAACCAGATAACTGCTGCAGCATATGGGCTCCTGGCAAACTTGAAAATAGCATTCCGATACCTTAGTAAGGAATCATTCAAGACTTTGTATTGCATGTATGTCAGGTCCATACTGGAGTATGCAGCACCAGTCTGGAACCCACACCAGGTCAAGCACATCAAGAAATCAGAGAAAGTGCAAAGGTTTGCAACAAGGGTAGTTCCAGAGCTAAGGGTAATGTCCTATGAAGAAAGGTTAAGGGATATCAGCCTGATGACACTGGAGGACAGGAGGGTTAGTGGAGACGTGATAACGACATACAAAATACTGTGAGGAATAGATAAGATGGACAGAGACAGGATGTTCCAGAGAGGGGACACAGAAACAAGGGGTCATAATTGAAAACTGAAGACTCTGGTGAGTCAATGAGATGATAGGAAGTATTTCTAAAGTCACAGAGTAGTCGGGAAGTGGAATAGTTTGGGAAGCGATATAGTGGAGGCAGGATCCACTCATAGCTTTAAGCAGAGGTATGATAAAGCTCATGGTGCAGGGAGAGTGACCCAGTAGCAGCCAGTGAAGAGGTGGGGTCAGGAGCTATGACTCGACCCCTGCAGCCACAACTAGGTGAGTACACAAACACACACACACACACAGAGTAGTGACCAGTGAAGAGGCAAGGGCAGGAGCTATGACTTGACCCCTTCAACAACAGGTGAGTACACACAATGTGCACACTCTGGCTGGGTACAAAATTGACCTAATTTACCCAAAATGCTGTGCATAACTAGGGACTTTATAGTAGTATGTCACTGATGTCAGCTAAGCATACATGTACTTGTAGAAATAAAGATTATTATTATCTCTCACTTTCTCACACACAAACAAGAATTGCTGGATTACTAGCGCACTCAGCTCTAACACTGAGGTCCGTGGATGTGTTTCCTTAAGACACCTCTGTCCATGTTCACCTAGCAGTAAAATAGGTACCTGGGTATTATTTGACTGGTGGGTTGCATCCTGTGGCAAAATTGACGTAATTTGCCCGAAATGATCTGCATAACGAGGGGCTTTCTGTATAGTAGTTTGTCATTGATGTCAGCTAGGTCTGTATACCTTGTACATGTACACCTACCATCCGACTTACGACCGAGTTCGGTTCCGAGAAACCGGTCGTAAGTCGAACTATACTACTGAATATCAACAAAACATTTTTGTAATGACTATTTTATTGTTTTATTTTGGTATTTCATGTTTTACTTTACTTTTTATGTTGTTAGCACTGTATTTTATACTGTAAGATTTAGGATAAACACTGTGTACAACACAAATAGTTGTTTATTTCCCAGAAATTTGACATAAAAAACACGGTCGTAAGTCGAGCAGGTCGTAAGTCGGATGGTAGGTGTACTTGTATAAATAAAGATTATTATTATTCTTTCAACAAAGTGACCGTATCCCATTGAGGCAGGGTGGCCCAAAAAGAAAAACAAAAGTTTCTCTTCGTAACTTTAGTAATGTACGTATACAGAGAAGGGGTTACTAGCCCTTTGCTCCCGGCATTTTAGTCGCCTCTTACGACAAACATGGCTTACGGAGGAAGAATTCTGTTCCACTTTCCCATAGAGTTGAGAGGAAATGAACAAGAACAAGAACTAGCAAGAAAATAGAAGAAAACCCAGAGGGGTGTGTATATATATGCTTGTACATGTATGTGTAGTGTGACCTAAGTGTAAGTAGAAATAGCAAGACGTACCTGAAACCTTGCATGTTTTTGAGTCAGAAAAGACATCAGCAATCCTACCATCATGTAAAACAATTACAGGCTTCCGTTTTACACTCGGCAAAACAGTAGTACCTCCGTGGGTGGTTGCTGTCTACCAACCTACTACCTAGGTATTATTATTATTAGTGCACACACATGCAGACACATGTGTGCACACACACACACACACACAGAGGAGAGAGAGAGAGAGGAGGAGAAGGGGGGGGGAGATGCAGGGCCAGGAGCTATGACTCAATCCCTGCAACCACAACTAGGTGAGTACACACACACATACATATATATACATGTGATTTATATATAATTATATATATAATATATATATATATATATATATATATATATATATATATTATATATATATATATATATATATAATATATATATATATCTGAATATAAAAAATGCAACTATTTCAAGTTTCAAACTAACGAATGTACATTTATTTGTTAGCTATTTCTTTGGGAAAGTGAAAGCATAGTTCAAAATTTTGCAAGTGAGAATATTACTTGAGAAATGTATGGAATGATAAATTCAAATGTTCACATTTTGATGTATATTTATCTGAAGCATTAATGTAAATATACATATTCCTGTTTATCAGTTTTTTTGTTTTTTCAATACTGTGTTATACTTCTAGGAGATATCAGTTTTACTGTCATAGATGACTCTGCTTAAATTTAAAAAAATGATTCACAGAAAGGGCTTTTTTTTTTATGTAGCTCATTGACTGTTTAACAGGTTGC